TAGGTTTCCTCACCCGTGAGCTCAGGGGTTTTACTGTAGACACCATCTACCTTGTGACCCATCTAACTACCGGATATGCATGTCTTATGGCTACCTATAAATGTCCCAAGATAGTAAAGGTTTGCTCTCTCTTCTCCCCTTTCCACTTGGACCATCAAGAAGGGCTGAAGTGAGCATGCTACCATAAAATGTGTCTGACTCCTTTATGTTATTCCCTCTCCTATCTTTCTATCCTCTATGACTTTACTATCAGCTTTATCTATGTTTGCCATATAATTGCGCCTGCTGGCCCTTCGGTTGTTGGAGGCTGGTTTCCTCTGACACCATGGAATGCTGGGATGCTGAATCCTAGATCTTCAAGATGCACAGCATGCTCCAGAGAGTGCATCAGTGAGATCCCATGTGGAAACTCTACTGAGTGAACCTGACTCTTCCTGAAACATGCTTGTCACCTGAGGACTTAGGTCAGAAAAAGCGGAAGACAACTGTACCAAGACTGTTAACTCTCTTTGGGTGGACAAATGTGGTCTTGCTACATCAATGTCCTATATGCTGTATGGAGATATGTATCATATGTATTATATGATAACACATATTATAAGATATGTATTATCCAGTAAATTTGTGATGGACAATCTGTGTTATTTTGCTTTTGTTAGTTCATATTATAGTGTATCTCAGAGGTGCTATGTCATTGGGGGTCGCACCCTTAAAGTTGTGTTATATGCTTTTCTGTTTTTTGATAAACGAAAGCCAGGATTGATGAATCTATAGGAACAGCAAGTAGAATAAGGGTTAGGAAGGGGGTGGGGCATGGGTATAAGTATAGAGATGATGTCAAGGAGTCTGGGAAGAAAAAGTATTTTAAAAAACTGAATGTGGTAGCAAATGTACAATTCTGCTTGATGTAATTGAAATATGAAATGATATGATATATGTTTTAACTACCGATTAATAATACATTTAAAAAAAACATAGATCCAGTCATGGGTTTGGGGTTTGCACTAAATCCTAGCTCCAACTCAAGAACAATTAGTTCTTACATCATGACCCTGCTCAATAAATGTTCTCAGGAAGGGAAAACAGAAGATATTGGTGCTATAGCAAAATGTGGTGAAGAAATTAGATAGTACCTGGCTATCAGACAAAATAGTATCAGGAGCTTATAGGTTTGTCTCCAAACAAGCCACCATCTAAGTGAGATGTCAACTAAGTCCACACGCAAGAACACCATAATCAGTCACCAAAAGAGTGTAAATCATATAATCCGAAGTCAAAGGAGAGATTAGTTTCAGAGCCTAAATTGTGAGAATCTGGTTTGCAGAAGGCCATGGATGACAGTGGGAGCACAAGATTCCTTCGTGGGAACTACATAGGAATAAGCCTCCAGTGAACTTCCTCTACCCAGAACTGAGGGACGAGAGGAAAGCAGTTACTAAACAATATGCATTGGAGAGATGAGTATACAAGATCAAAGGCGTAAATCTGGTTTGAACACTTAAAACATTGTCAGTTGATCCCCCTTCTGATGCACGCTGGACCTGATCTGGTTTTCCACATTTTCTGTATTTTGTTTTGTTTTGTTTATTCATATTAAGGTGTATCTCAGAGGTGTTATGTCATTGAAGGTCACCCTAATGAAGTTGTGCTTTATGTTTTTTCTATTTTTCAGTATATGAAACCCAGGATTGATGAACCTATGGGGACAGAAAATAGAATAAGGGTTTCAGAGGGTGAGGAGTTGAGGGGCGGAGGTGGGGGATAGTAAAAGATAGATTATGTCAAAGAGTCCAGGAAGAAAAAAATGGATATTTGGAAAATGATTGTGGTAGCAATTGCAAAATTCTGCTTGATGTGATTGAACTCCCAATTAATAATAAAGGTTTTAAACTTCCAACCAATAATAAATTTCTTTAAAAAATAATGATAAATGAGGCTTGCTCAGGTATTTCTGTTAACAGGATTTAATCATTTACAAGGGAAATATTAACAAATCATTCTAACTCTACTGGGATTCGCCACAGAAAAAGCTCAAACCTGACATTTCTAAATTCTTGTACAGAAAGAGCTCAGGATGCCTTCAGCCAAAGAACCCTGAAGAACTTTCCAAGCTTACATTTTATTTAGCTTTAAATAGCATTTTGCAGGGTAAATGAGTGAAAGCACTAGGTACTTACTTGTTTTCATGTGATATAGGAAGAAATGAGGAATTATTAAGACTGTACTATATACTGAGGTTGTGATAGTGAGCCATACGTGCATGAACATTAAAATCTAGAGCCTACCGGCAATTACAAAGTACAATTATAAGTGGCATAGCAAATACTCTATTGGATTGGAAACTATCACATTATCTGAATGGGTTTGTAACCTATTGGAAAGTTCAGATGATGCCTTATGAATGAAGAGATAGAGAAAATCCACCAGACAAAGAAAGCAACGGGAGGCATCATACAAGAAAGTGATTGGTTTGTGCTAGACATGTGCAACCTGCTGGAAATTGCTATCACCATGTTGCTGTGATTTGTGTTCTTTGTTGACCGAATAGAAGAAATGGAGCAGACAATCAGTGTTGTCAATCATATTTTCAATGTGGCTGAAGACTAATTTTTTATCAGTTATAGGGAAGAGGACAGGTAGTCCCTATATCCCTGTCAGCCTTAAGATTTCTTTAACAAATGTTTCAATGACCTCCTGAGGAAAAAAAAAATCAGATGAAAACATGGCATAAAAAAGATTATGAAGGGCAAGAGAGTAAAATTTTTTCAATAAGCCCTACTGAATGAGGAAAAATTTTGACACATGGACAAATATGAAATATATCCACTCATGCAAAATAATAGCCAAAGACTTAAATCTAATGAAATCATTCTTAAATTATTTCTCATCCTAACAATGTTCTTTTCACTAACATTTTCTTCAGGGCAAAATTCACATCCTTATTCCTCAGGCTGTAGATCAGAGGGTTCAGCATTGGTACAACAATGGTGTAAAACACGGAGGACACTTTGCCTTGGTCCATGTTGCTAAGTGATGCTGGTTGCAGGTACATGAAGGCTGCAGAACCATAGAAGATTGAAACAGCTGAAATGTGGGAACTACATGTGCTGAAGGCTTTGGATCTGCCTTCAGAGGAGCGAATACGGAGAATGCTGGCAACAATAAAGATATATGAGCCAAGGATGGTCAAGCTAGGGGCAAGAATGTTAAATGCACTAAAGATTAGAATCAATAATTCATTAACATCAGTACTAGAGCATGAGAGGCTTAAGAGGGAAAGGAGATCACAGAAATAATGATTGATCACATCAAATTTGCAGAAATGAACCTTAAATATGCAGCCTGTGTGAGCTGATGCACAAATCAGGCCTATAAGATACACCCCCAAAATCAGATAGAAACAGGCTTTGGGGGACATAATGGTATAATAAAGCAAGGGGCTACAGATGGCAACATAGCGATCATATGCCATTGCAGCTAGCATGTGGCACTCTGCAATAGCAAACATTAGGAAGAAAAAGAGCTGAGTTATACACTCAGGGTAGGAGATGATGTTCTTCTCTGTCACAAAGTTCACTAGCATTTTGGGGGTGATAACAGTGGAATGGCAGAGGTCAATGAAGGACAAACTGCTGAGGAAATAGTACATGGGGGTGTGCAAGTGAGAACTGAGTCCAATCAGGATGAGCATGCCCAGATTCCCCACCACTGTGACCACGTAGATTCCAAGGAAGAGGAAGAAGAAGGGAAGCTGAAGATTTGATTTGTCGATTAACCCAGCAAGGATGAACTCCGTCATGGTGGAATGGTTCCCTGGTGCCATTTCCTTCTGGGCAGTCTCTGGAATGAAGAGAGAGAGGCATGGTTGAGAAAGGGCCTTCATTATTCGTTCCTATATATAGGATGCCCACAATGGATGGTTCGTGGTTTGGGCTCCCCTCAGTCTCTGTTGTCGCTACAGTTAAGTCCTGCAGAAAGATATAATGAATGCAGTGGCTTGTGAGGGGATCTACTGTGCCAGTTACATTCAAGACTGAGAAGTCAGGACTGAAGGTTCTGGTAACTTGTTTGGAATTATAAAGGGCAAGTACTAATAGAGGTCTCTGGAAGGCAATCACGTGGGGATTTTTATGCATTTCAGAAAATTGAAAACTATGTTGCTGAAAATAAGGCCAGAAAAGTTGCACCTGCGTTTGTTTGTTTGTTTTATCCATCAAGACAACACACCTGCTCATTCTTTGAGGGTAGCAAGGCCTGTCCTATGAAAATGTCTTTGAGGAACCATCCTTCGTCCACCCTACAGCCACGCTCCTTCCCTTTCGCTCTTCTTTTTGTTCCACAAAACTCAAAGTACATTTTCAAGGAACAGGATTTGGCTCTCTCCCGGAGGCTGAAACTGCTGTTTGAAGTGGTTAAACAAAAGAGTACAAAATTCTCTGGGAACACCCATCATGTATACGTGGGTGGTGGTAAGTCAATAAGAAATAGCTTCACATGGTGATATTTTAAATTTATTTTAAATAAGCATATTTTTATGTACCCTCTAAAATGAAATCAGAACCTATATTTTAATGAGACCATAAGATGGTTCTTATGGAGATCTCCTTAAATTGTCGATTCTGATGAAATATATGGGGTTAAAATGTAAATGCTCTGCAGAAAGTTGAACAGGAATGAATAGGTTCAGGTTTTGAGTCCTGGTTCAGGGAGGGAAAATAAAGATATACATATGATTTTCTCAGTAAATAAATAATTAGTTATTATATACAAAAATAAAAGCCCAAATGAAAAGAAACATACATCTGAGAATAAAGGCTAAACTACTAAAATTGCTGAAGAACACACTAAAAAGTATTTTCAAGATCTTGCGTTATCCTAGTATTTTTTTCAAACACACATACACAGAAGAATAACAACAAACAGACCTGAAACGAAACAAATAAAAACCTAATCATAAAGGGTGGTTTGTACTTTAGCAAAGGTAAAAACTACTTCTCAAAAGATACCATGAAGGAAACAGAAAGTCTTATCAAAAGGTATAGCATCTGGGGTCTTAAAGGCTTGAAGTTAAACAAGCGGCCATCTAGCTCAGAAGTAACAAAGCCCACATGGAAAAAGCACACCAGCCTGTGCAATCACGAGGTGTCAAAGGGAACAGGTATCAGGCATTATCAGAACAAAAAAGCATATCATTGTGAATGAGGAGGAGTGCAGCAGGGTGGAGACCCAAACTCAATGTAAGCAACTGTACAGCCCCTTATGCAATTGTCTCGGGGAGGAGATGAACCCGTCAGGGTGCAGTGTAGCAAAGATGAAACATACAACTTTCCTCTAGTTCTTAAATGCTTGCTGCCCCCACTATCATGATCCCAATTCTACCTTACAAGTCTGGCTAGACCAGAGGATGTACACTGGTACAGACAGCAACTGGAAACACAGAGAATCCATGACAGATGATCCCTTCAGGACCAGTGGTGAGAGAGGTGATACCGGGAGGGTGGAGGGAAGGTGGGGTGGAAAGGGGGAACTGATTACAAGGATCTAAATATAACCTCCTCCCTGGGGGATTGACAAAAGAAAAGTGGGTGAAGGGAGACGTCAGACAGTGCAAGATATGACAAAATAATAATTTATAATTATCAAGGGTTCATAAGGGAGCGGGGAGCAGGGAGGGAGGGAAAAATGAGGAGCTGACACCAGGGGCTTAAGTGGAGGGGAAATGTTTTGAGAATGATGAGGGCAATGAAAGTACAAATGTGCTTTACACAATTGATGGATTGGGATAAGAGTTGTATGAGCCCCTAGTAAAATGACTTTAAAAAAAGAAAGTCTAAACAGACAATACAATACTTATATACTCGAGTATAAGCCGACCTGAATATCAGCCAAGGCACCTAATTTTACCACAAAAGCTGAATTAGAAAATATGCTGAAAAACTCAGCTTATACATGAATATATACGGTATCTGTCAAGGATGAAGGGCATGAAGATAGCCAAATAGAAGTCATACCGTTTGAAGAAAATACATGAATAGTAAGTAAGCATAATAAAGTATACTCAGGGCCATGCGTCATCAAGGAAATTCATACTAAAAATGTAACAGGGCACTTCCCAACACCCACAACTGAATGAGTGAAAAACGAACAACAGTAATGACAATTAGAAGTGTTGAGAAGGACAAGAGCAAATGGACTTGTCATACACGGTGAGGAGTTGGGGTAATGGTTAAATTGCTTTGGAAAATAGTTTAACTTCTTAACTTTTTAAATGGGCACTTAAAATATAAACCAAAAATTCTACTCATTATTCACCCATAAAAATGGTAAACCAATACCTATAAAAAGATGCACAAAAATGTGCACAGCTGCATTACTTATAGCAGTCCCAAACTGGAAGTAGTACAAATGTTTATCTACATATGGACAGATAAATACATTGGAACATACAATAGGATACTATTCAGCAATCCAAAATTAATAAATCTTACATACAATAGAAATTTACAAACCATTATATTGTGCAATTTAAGTCAGCAATTAAGAGTACACATTCCGTGATTGACTGCCACGAGATGTGTGGGATTGAAAGAGAAGATAAAAGAACATTTTGAAATGATAAAAAATTATTTAAAGGAAGTTGAAAAATAAGCGAAAAAATTTATTTATGTGAACTGTGTGCCTAAAATGCGTGCATTTTTATTATTATGCATATTGTATCTATATAAGTAAAACTAGAAGAAAAACCAACAAAGAATATCTTAAAGCAGGATTATACTTTATCATCTATTTATCATCTCACATACATGCAATGAACATTCATTTCAAGAGCATATGAAACTTTAACAAAATTATTAATATGTGGTTGGTTATAAGGCAGTTGGAAATATTTTCATATTTAAGGAAGATATAACATTAATATTTTAAGGACTATCTTCTGAGATACATAAAATGGTATCTGATGGGTCCAGCTGAGTGCAGAGCAGCGCCTGGCCATTACAACTGTCTCCTTCCCGTGCTTGCTGCTCACAAATACTCTTCACCCCCACATCTGCCCACGCATGCCAACCCCTCTCCTGAAGGTCAGAGGCCACATCATCTTGCTTCTTTCAAACATGCCAATCAGAAGGATATAGGGGGATTTCCTAACCCCAGCCACAAATTCCCACCTCCGATGGTATGATTGCTGTGACTTCTTTGTCTCGGGCTATTCTCTCTATCATGGAGCTGGCAGCTGTGCTCCCCAATAAAGCCTCTTATTTATAGAATTTTGGCTCTGTCCCTGTATCTATCATATGGTGACAAAACCCAGGAGGGAGTAGCTCCGTAGTTGCAAAGACACTCCCTTAGGTCGATTGCCTTCCTGGACCTCCGTCGAAGACCTTCTGGAGCCAGAATCTCCAGGGAACACCTTTGTTTGCCATTAGAGACCCTGCATCCACACACAGGCTGATTCTCGGTGAGTGCACACTTGAGGTTCTCCACCCGTCTCTACTGACTTTAAAGGCCTTTCTCAAAAGTCCTGGTACCAGCTCAGATACTCTAAGCCCCTGTGGCATGGGTCGCAATCAGGGGCGGCTGCCTTTCTGGTTTGCTGCCCTCACTACTCCCGTTTATGGGATATCAAATCTAGAGAGCTTTTACAGGACCCTCTATGCATCTGTTAAACTTTTGGGGAGCTCAAATTTTACTAATTTTTCTTTGTAATCTGGTCTCAATACAAGTTAGACAATAACTCACAATGGTCACATGATGGCACTCCGGATTTCAAAATCATGCATAACCACAGTAACTTCTGTCAGTATAACAGCAAATTTTTAGAAGGTCCCTATGTGCAGACTTTCTTCCTCCTACACTCGCATCTTCATTCATCTATGTCTCAGTTTTCCCACCATCAAATTCCCGCTAGTTCAGGATAAAACGTCTCTCCCGATGAATCTTTTTTTTTGTTTTTTGATCCCTCTGACCATGTTGCTTTGCCTAAGGAAGCCCCTTCCACTTTCCCCTGTCTGCCTCCAGATTTCTCTCCTCCGTACAAACTTTTTCCTGTCAGCCTGAACTCCACCAGCTCCTGCCACCTCCTCCTATCTGATACCCTCTAATCCACCCTCTTCTTTTCCATTGTCTCCTGCCTCCTCCCACCCGCCAATGTCTGGTTCATCATCTGCTCTCTCATCATCTCCTCTCCCTTCTTTTTCATCATCACAGTCCCTCCCACCACGGCCATTTTCCCTGCTAACGTCTCCCTCCCCTCTGCCACCTTTGTCCCTCCCCCACATTCGGTCCCACTCAGTCCTTCCCAGCTCAAAACCACCTTCTATATACCCAAATTGTCCGCCTTCAAACCCTACTCCTGTTCTTCCTCTGCATGAGGTGGCAGGAACTGAGGGATTAGTTAAAGTACATATTCCTTTTTCTCTTTCTGATGTATCTGCTCTGGAGAAATACCTGGGAGCTTTTCCCTCTAATCCAGACACATTAAAGAGTTCAAACATCTCACTCAGTCTTACAATCTTACCTGGCATGATATTTATATTATTCTTACAACTGCATGATCCCCTGAAGACAAGGAGAGAGTCTGGCTAGACCCTCAGCAGTGAGTCAATGAAAGTCGTGCCCAGGACAGGGACATGGCATTTTGCGATGACTGGAAATTGGTGTGAGAATTAGCACCCACCATTATTGTAGGAGTCTCAGGTCTAGTGTAAAAGCCCTTCATTACACAATCACTTTTATGTAGGCTTTATAATGTACAATTCACAAACCAGTTTCTAGTCATCCCCAAAGGCCATGTCCTTACTAAATTCAAAACAGTAGTAACTTTTCATTTACGGGGCTCCTCCCAGGCTCCAAATTTGCTGCTTC